ACCGGCGGAAACCGAAGGTGGCTTGGTGCTGGTTCGCCGGGGAGTGGCGCGCGGAAGGGAAGGGCCGTCCCCTCCTGGTCGGTGGGGGGTGTGCCGCTGCTCGCCTTAATTTCGGGGAAAGGGGCACCGGGGATTTTGAAGAGCGCCTGCTGGGATGGGTCCTAGGTTGAAAAGCGCCTGCTTGGCACTCGATGCTTTTGTGCCCTTTCAACAGTAATTAACTTTCTTCTCCCAGCTGGTACCCCTTAAGAAGCGATTTGCCCCTTCAAGTCCTTGGGGGATGCTTCCTAAAAATGCTCCCTATTTCAAGAATGACTCTCTCAAATTCTAGCCTAGGATTTTTTTTTTCTCCTTAGCTCAATAAAGCTTGGCATGCTTTCTCTGATGCTGCTTTAGCTTTGCTATAAATCCATCCCATTTGTGCTTTGCCCCTGTTAATCCAGCCTAAGAGAAACTTTTTGCGTGCCTGCAGAACCCTGCCGCTGATTTCTCTCTAGCCTTATCTGCGTATTTCAGGCCATGCTACTAAAAACACAATCTCAGTTTGTGTTCCAGATCCGCACCAATTCTCTCCAGCCCGGTCCTTGAAACAAACCACGCCAGCGCCACCCACCACATACACACCTGTGCCCGATTTAGCCACCTAGCTCTGATGTTGCTTTCTCTAGGTGGTGCCCTCAAAAGCCTGCAGCAGGCAGACGCAGAGTCCCTGCAGGCCCTGTGGTGGGACCGAGAGACGCCAGCTCTTCCACTCCGTTCACGAGACATCCTGCCCTTAATGGACCTGGCTCTACAGTATCAAGCCAGCCCCCGCCATCCTCCGATTCTGCCTGTGGAGCTGCCGTGTGCTTCAGTTTGCCAGCGATTCCTGCTTGTCTTTGCTGGCAGCAGCGATGGTGTATGGGTGCTCCTGGGAACAGCAGGAGCCCCACACCTCCCCATGGCGACGAGCAGCCTGGATCCCCCAAAGCTGGGCAGCAGGCTCCTGGTGGCCATGCAGCAGCTTCTCCAGAAATGCATGGCCCAGTCCAAGGTGGCTGTCAATCCCCAGGGCTTGCTTGGCCTGCAGCACCTTGGCAAGGAGCCAGGGCAAAATGATGGCATCTGCTTCAATGTGGTAGCCACGATTGGAGGCAGCAGCTCACCGGAGCAGGGACCACCAGCATTACAGGATCCAGCTTTCACCTGGTGGAAAGTGGAAGATGCAGCTCTGAAGAGCAAGATCCTCCAAAGGCTTAATACCTCTTCCTTTATCCCCATTCAGAGTTAGATTTTGCCAGCCAAGGGCTGTGCCAGCAGAGCAGAAATCGAAGCCACCTCCTCTTGACCCAAGTTCTGGTCAAGGAGGAAGCAGTGATGACAGGACCCAGCAATCTCAAGAGAGGAGCCTTTTATCCCAAAGCCCTGCTGGGAGTACCCCGATGTCACAGAATACAGCGTGGGTCCACAATACCCCTTTTCCAGATGATGCAATGCTTCCCACCACTGCAGAAAGCAAGGTGGGCAGGAAGGGTCATGGTACATTTACAGCTGCTTGCAGTAGTGGCCAGCCAAGCTTATGCCCAGCGTAGTTAATAAAAATGCTTGTTTCCTTGTGGCTTTGCTGTGTTAATCTGCAGGGAGAAGGTGACAAAAGGTTCCCAGAACATTTATTCATTAGATGCATATCCCATCTTTCCTCCAGGGGCTCCAAGCAGTCTTGGAGCAAAGATAGCGAAGGCAGGTTTCCTTTTGTTCACTATTTATTTCAGGCCTAAGATCAAGTCACTGCAAAGCCCTAGGCAATATGCAAAGATCGAAAAACACATCCAGACATATTCATTGACTTGGGACACCCTCCGAGGAATGAGATGGTGTGGGTTTCCATTATCTCATGACAGCAAACTCCTGGTTCAAAAAAAGGCAACTAGGGGTCAGGTAGAATGGGCAGGGTTAGTCTTAACACTGTGATGGAAGACATTGCAAAAAAACAGATACCAGCACAGAACCTTCACCTTGGGTACATATGCCCAGAAAGGTTAAGTGGGCGCAGAAAAGAGAAGAGGGTCACTTGGCTGGACAGTCCAAGAGAAATAAGTGCAAGCTATGGCCAGGAGTCTTCGGAGCCTTCCCCTGTTGGCCTGGGCTTTGTGTTGCACTTAGAGATGACCACAGTTGTAATAGGAGCAGCAGAGAACATGAAAGGAGGCATAGTTTATAGCAGCAGATCCCAAACTCCAAGCACCATGGAAAACTTTTACAGGGATCTCCATGATTTAATCCCAATGGCTAAAACAAGCTGAAAATAGCCCCACCTTGCCAATAATTGTAGAAGATAGCAGTCCAGACGCTTTATCTGGATTTTTTTGTTCTTGAGGAAGATGCCAAGAAGACCTCCAGGATATTAGGCTCCTCTTCCAGAAGAATGACAAGGCCAGGGCTGGCAAGCTGGGTCATGCATCAGAAGGCAGGCAGGCTAGCTCACCAAAATCACAGCACAATCAAGGGGCACAAGTGAGAATCTATCTTGCTTTGCTCAGGTAAGGGGAGCTGCACTGGGGCTGCTGATGAAGCAACCAATTGCTTCTTATCCCACTGTCCCTGCCTTGACTCCTCCTCATGCGGAGCCACTTTTATACCAAAAGCAAGGAGGTGACTGCTGCTTTTCTCTACACACAGGAAGTCGCCTATGGTGCTGCTCTTTCATTTATAGGTGAAAGCCCCAGAGAGACATGGGAGCCAATGTGTCAGAGACCCAGACCTTTCAGCTGGGTGAAGGGGCACACTGCTGACTCTGTCCAGCAGGGCCCTTGAGCACAGACTTGACAAAGACGATGGCAGCCAGCTCTTTGCAGAATTCCTCCAGCACAATCACCCCCTCCAAGAGCATCTGGTGGCCAATCCTGTAAGGAGATTGGATGCAAGAAAAAAAAGATATTTGCCCTCTTCTTGTCAGCTCCCCTCTCCCTGCCCCCCCCCCGCCGATTCTAGATAAAGTTTATAAAGGCCTCTACATAGGAAAAGCTGCTGACAGCAAACGTAAGGACCACCTGATTATTATTACTGCTCTCAAATTTGCAACCAGAGGTCTCAGGCTCTACACGCTTTCTCCAAGGCAGGTCACTGCTATTGGAGAACAGCTGCTTCCATCAAGATAATGGCAGGGCTAGACTGACCCCAGCTGTTCTCTGGGCCACAATGCTGTAATAGTCTCTGTACACCACATGGAGAGCTTTGTCTCAGGGAGCCAGGACTCCAGAAGACGACAAGAACAATTGGGGCCTGAAGGTGCTCAGCCAAGTTGCTGAACAGAAGCTGACCTCTGAGACAAACTAAAGAAACAGCAGCGCTCCTCTCTCCAGCCCACTTACAGTTGCTCCTCCAGCACCAGCCCCATTAGCTTTCTCCGGACCAGTAGCAAGTTGGTGGGGAAGTCTGTGATCCGATGGGCAATCTGCATCAGGCTGCCAATCACCTGGCAGGAAAGAGAGAGGGTGAACAAGGCGGTGCAGGGAGTGCAGCAGCAGCAGCAGCAGCAGCAGCAGCAGCAGCAGCAGCTGGAGAGGAGGTGGCTGGGCACTCCTTGACTTCTCTGCAGAAGCTCATGGCTCCGCCGTAAACTCAGTGACAAAGTTCCCCACCCTGTGCTTGTCCCCACGTCACAGGCTAAATGTTACCCTGATCAGCACCGAGAAGAGGGTCCTGCAGCCAGGGGCCAGTGGGAGGTAGGGGTCCAGTAGATACTCATGGAGATGAGGGTGAGGGAAGAGGGCCAAGCGAGACAGCAGTGACGTCACCTGCAGGTTCACTGCATAGGGCTGCCATTGAGGGGGAGAGAAAAGACACAGGGTTTCATCCACAACCTGCCGCTGGCTGAGCAGCAGCAGGACTCCATCAACCACCCAGAAGAAAAGGGAGCAGAAGGAAGTCACCGCCTGTGACACACACCCACAACAATGGTTGCGCTGCACCATGTTCCTCAACTATAAAAGGGCAAGAAGAGAGGCCTGGAATGTTCCAGGACCCCTTTTCCTTGAAGCTGCCTTCCTGCAACAAATTGGGGACACTGCCTTGCTATCTCCAGAGGGAAGCCTCCATATTGGAGCCTGAGGATGCTCTCCCAGTCTGCTTCCCTTAGGATCCTACCTGGTGTAAGATCTGGGCCAGCCGATCAAAGAGTACCTGCAGGAAACGGCCCTCATAAAACTGGGGTCTTGCAGGACTGCTCTTCTGGGGCAGCTGAACCTGGGGCCACTTCCAGTGCACAACATTCGCACAACATTCTTGAAACTGTCAGATGAGAGAACTGGTTGGATCATCGCTAGTCTGGATGTTTATTCACTTATCACAAGGTTTTATATGTTGCCCATTTCCATAGGACTTGAAGAGACTGACAAAAACAAGGAGTGCAAATACCAAAACCGCCTAACAGCCACCACACCGTTAGGTGCCAAACACTCAATGAAACACCCAGGTTTTAGGTGACCCGCAAAGGAGGAAACGACTCCCTGCGACTCCATTTACTTCACATGAGGAGGGAACCTTTGGGAATCCCAGGTCAAATCTTGCTGGGAAAGAGTCCTGCAGAAACCTAAGAACCAACACTTTGAACTAGACCTGGAAGCAAATGGGCGACCCGCTCAGTGACTGCAACATTAGGCATCATGGGGCTAAATCTGCCACCTCCAGTGGGCAGATGGACCAAGGGAAGCTTCCAAGGCAGCCCCGTCTAGTGTGTGCTGCAGCAGTCAAGTCTCCCTGATCCAGGTAAGCTCACAACTGGCACCCCAGCCAGAGCTGGGCAGAGGCGGCCCCAGTTCCCACCCTCTGCTTCAGCACAGCTGGAGATCTATGAAGGCCCTGAAGTTGCAGAGGTGCTCCTTGCAGCGAAACCTCGTAGCCCAAGGGCTCAGTAGTCCCAGAGCCAGAACTGACTTGCTGGGATTTACCCTGATCTTGTCCTGGCGGCCTCCAGGCACCAAGACTTCCACGGCATCCCTGGCTCAACCTGGAGTGACAGTCCATAGGTGAGTAGCTTCAGCTTACCAAGGGCACCTCAACCCCTGACAGATAACAGGTAACCTCTCCCAGCGGTTCGCACAGATGTTAAATTACCCAGGGGGAGGACTGAGCCCTGCAGCACCCCACACCAGCTAGACTACGAATACTGACAAGAGCGAGCCAAACCATTGCAAGACAGTGCCTCTGGTCCCCACCCTTTGCAGCTACTCCTCAGTAGTCAGTGGAACTGAATGCCACCAGAGGGCGCCCTCCCTCCAGGGCCTGGCAAAGGTCAATGAAGAGGATGACCAATTATGTTTCTGTTTCATGCCCAGGCCTGAAGGTCTACTGGAAAGGGTCTAGAAAATTCATTTCCTTCAGAACCCTTGGCTGTTGCAACACACACATCCTCCCTTTTTAACAGTGTGCTGCACCAGGCGCCATTTAAAAAAGAGGCCGGTACAAGAGAGGGACCAGGGGACACAGTGATATTTCTATCGTTGGAAAGGACACTGATCATTCCAGTTAACATTGGCCCACTGGAGTTCAGAAAAATAAACCAATTTCTTGTTTAGGATGCAGCATGGGAAGGGTATCAAAGGACTCACCAGCACTTTAGCATCGTGCACATAAGTGTCATATCCTGCCTCCTCCAAATAAGGTGAGGTCTTCACCTCACCTGGTACTAGGCAAAGGAAGCTGGGGGAAAAAAAACAGGAAGTACAGGTTAGGGCTAGCTGGAGTCTGAGCTCTGCAGACCCCATGCTCCCTGCTTACTCACACTTCATCCTTTCTGGCTAAGCAGAGCTGCCCACTTCAACCTTGGCTATGTTCCCACCATACCCCAAACTCTCCTAAAGGTGGCTTGCTTTGGGTCCCTTGTTGGGTGATCCTGCACCTATATTCATTTCCCTCCTGAATAAAATCTCCAGGGTGAAGGGCAACCAAGTCATGTGCCACACAGAACATAGGTGCCTTTCCTCGCAGTATCTCCAAAAGTCTGGGTTCCCTGCATGCCCACCCTTCAATCCTTTTGGCTACCAGGAAATCTGAAACTCTCCTTCTCAGATTTGCTTGCATACCAACCCTCAGGAAGTCACGGCCCAGATTTTGAGAAACACGGGCTTGAAGCAAAGGTGCATTTTCCTGAGGCTGCAAATCACTGCAGAGAACAGCCACATAAATCGAGAAAAACACAACTACTTTCAGGTGCTCCTGACGGGCTTCATGCACACCCACACTTGCTCCCAACTGCATTTCTGCCATTTTCAAATCTCGATTTCTACAGAATAATATTAAATATGCACTGAAAGAAGATGCCCCACAAAATCCAGACGACTGCCAGTGGGTGTAACTACAAGGGGCATTTTCTGGCAGCTTGGACAGAATTCTCAGTGCAACCTTTTTGCTTTGCCATCTCTTATTCCCTCAGATTTTCTATATGCTTTGACTGTGAGTACTCCAAGATGTGGGAAAATTCTGTTACGATGAGAATGCTATAGCTCATCCTAATCCGACCAAATAGGATCCTAAAGTAGAAGGTGAAATTTAAAACCAACGTACAGTATTGTGCAAAAGTTTTAGGCAGGTGTGAAAAAATGCTGTAAAGTAAGAATGCTTTCAAAAATATATATTGTAAT